ATATATATATATATATATATATATATATATATATATATATATATATATATATATATATATATATATATATATATATATATATATATATATATATATATATATTATTTTTGTTTTTGAATTATTGTAAAAAATATTTAAAGCAATAATAAAGTTGTTCTATTAATATTCAATATTTTGATCATTAATTTCATGTTTTCATTAATATTCAATAATTTAATCAGTAATTTCATATTCCCGTTAATATTCAATCTTTTGATCAGTAACTTCATGTTCTCGTTAATATTCAATATTTTGATCAATTTTGATTAGTAAATTCATATTCCCGTTCGTATGGATATTGATATAATTAACTGTACATTTATACGATAATGATGTGTACTCTTGCATTCACACATGTACCCATGTGGGTCGTACGCTTTTATTCTTAAAATATAATAAAAATATTAATAACTAAAAAAATAGTTTTAAGAAAATAATTTAATATTTTTAAAAGATAGAAATATTTTTAAAATAAAAACAAAATCTATCTATTATCTTATCTATCTATTAAAAGTAAAGTACCTGGAAATTCCAAGTCTAACCTTTTGATTAGATGTTATAACTTTTCTTATTCCAAGGGTATATTTGTAACTTTCTGAAATACTTGCACCATATTGATTTGACAATAAATATGGCTGATGTGTCACACTATGGTTTTTTCTGCCACTTTTTATTTTTTTAAATTATTTCTAACTAACAACAATTATGCCATTTTGTTTATATTTACACGTTATAATCACACCTAATTATGTGCTACATACCACTTCCCAAAACCCTCATCCAAACCAAAGGTCATTCAATTTGAAATTTAAATTAAAACACTCATATTATAGCTGCTACGTACACTGGGTTTTGAAATTCTAATTATTCCACTAAACCCTAATCACGTTTTTTGTTGCAAGATTTAAATTGGCAGCACAAGATGAACAACCATCATAAATAAATGTTGAGTTCTTGAAATGGTAAATCTATACAACCAAAGAAATCGTTTTTCCCAAGATGCAACAAATAACTCATTCACTCAACTCTATTAAAACACAAATCAGAAAACCTAATTTCATCTTCTTCCTCCGCCGCTCCATCTCTTTTCATTCTTCTCTCTTTGTTGCTACTATTTTCGTTTCGTTGTAATCTCAACCATCTAATATTCTCATCCTAACCTGTTAATTTATTTGTTTCAGACGTTCAAGCGTAAGAATGGTGGTCGCAACCAAGACCTCTGAATCTAAACAACATCAATAACCAACAACACCCGTTATAGATCTATAAAAGAATTTCCTTCAAATGCAATTTTTAACGTTAATTTGATTCATACATATGTAAGTGACGAAGGTGAGTGATTGAAACATGTGATTGAAAGTTGAAACTGAAATGTAGTTTGGAATATCATATTTTATGTTGTATTCTTTTCGTTTTCAGGATTGTCTTACTATTTCTCCTTTTCCAAAAAAAAAAGCTTAACTTGACACCTAAAATGGGATATCTTTATCTTTAGGTTTGAGAGTTGCAGAAGGGGATTTTTGAGCTTGCATGTGACGAATAACACAACCATGATATTGTTTATTTTTTGTTGTTAGGTATGTTTTTTTTATTCAGATTTTATTTCTCAATTTTTTTAATTTTTTTAATTAAAATATGAGGTTGAGTTTTGGCTTTTTTTATTTGTTTAGTCTTGGTGAATACAAATCTCACACATATATATTTACGATTGATTCTCCAAATAGATAGAAGCTTATTTATTTTGCTTCCTCTTTCAATTTATTATTAATCTATTTAAATTTCAATTTCTCCCATCACATGTTTGATAAAAGAAGGCAGTATATTCTCATCAATTTTGTTGTTTATTTTGCTTACTATTATATTTATTTGTATCTAATTGAGATTTTTGTATTTATTTTCTTGGTTCTTCTTTTGGAATATGTATGGATATGGAGGCTGATAATTGATTTCACACTTGATTTCACCAATCAACAAATTGAATAACGGATTGTTTCACAGTTTAATTTTTATACATTGATACGTAAAATGAAATTATGCTGATTGCGATTTGATTTTGTCATGTGAAAACAGGTTTAATATAGTCACAATCTGTCTTAACAAGGAATTATCAAACTTTACCTCATGATCGATTCAAGCATTTGTTTTTGAGGTTGAAGATAGAGAGAGGATTAGTGGTTCGGCTTATGGGGTCAACAGGACATCTGTTGCACCAATGATCTTCCTAACAAGGAATTATCAAACTTTACCTCATGATCGATTCAAGCATTTGTTTTTGAGGTTGAAGATAGAGAGAGGATTAGTGGTTCGGCTTATGGGGTCAACAGGACATCTGTTGCACCAATGATCTTCCTAAACTCACTGTGTGCAATGATGGACAGGGTTGTCACCGGCCTTCTCCCATGAATTCAAATTGGCCTGAAGTTTATGGCGTGGCTTTTTATCATGCCCAAGAAATAAACAGTTTGTTTTTAGTTTTAATGCTTTATAATATTATTGTTTGCAGAGTTGTCTTAGCATTTTAAGTGCAAATATTCACCATGGTCATGGCTGAGTGACCATTTGCTTCTCTAATTTCACAAACAAAAATATTACTAAAGAAGAATTGGAGACTGCCACAACAGAACCAGAGACCACTATTTTAAATCTACTTAATCGAGTCGATTTTCACATGTGATTCATCATCAAAGCCAAGTGTTAACTTATATTTTCATTCAAGTTATTTGATAGTTAACCTTATAATAGTAAATATATGTTCAATATGGTGCAGATGATTTGATTTCCCGAGCATTTGATTTCCATCTACAGCCGTAATTGAAGATTAGGAAATTGAAACCATTGAATTTTATGCTTCCACAAGGAATATCAATGGCTTTCATTGGCAGGTACTGATTATATACTAATTGTATTTTCTGACAGATAGCAAATGCAAATGTCTCATTGCAATGTTTGGAGGAACTGTTTTTGGAAGAGGAACGAGATTTTGATGAACATGAGGATAGTCAAAGGGATGAGACTCTTATTCACCCGAACTTCTAAAGTAATATGTTTTTAAGGGTTCAAGAGTAGTGGGTGTTGCTGAAGTTCACTACCAATTTCAGAAGAACCATAATAGAAGAATGTTTTTAACAAGATTTGATTCAAATTATGTATATGTATATTATTATTGCTTTCATATTTTGTATGTCATATCAACACTGGTTTTGGCATAATATATTTTTCTACTGCAAATTATGTTGGCCTATGTTTTAATGGAATTTATTTTACACCAAATTTTCTTTTGAATGTAGCATTGCATCTAGCAAACACACTTCTCTAAGTTTACCATCTTTTTTAAATAGAATTTCTCTTCTCCTAAAGAGAAGATAATAACCTACAAGTTGGTGTTGATGTGCCTTCAAAATTCTAATTTATTTTGAATCGAAATTATAATTCTCATTTGTCATGAAATTTGAATAAATTTTTTATTTTATATTGGTATTTTTTTATTTTTAATTGCTATAATTTTAGAAACAAATATTACAATTTTTAATAAAATATTTACGATTTATTTTTTTAAAGTACGACTAATTAATATATTTTTATACAATATTAAAAACAAATATTACAATTTTTTAATCAAATATTGGAGTACCATTTAATTCGATAGTTTACCAATATATCTTTTGAATGAAGACATTATTATTATTTATTTTTATTATACTTATATGGAAATTATTGGTGACATAAATATATTTAATTTTTATATAAGATTTGATTCCATAAAATATTATGATCAATAAAATTTGAATTCTCTTCTAATATTATAGATTTGATACTGTTTCATATTGTAGAAATATTATATACATTAGAATATATAAAGATATGAAAAAAATTAAATCAAAACTTTACAAATATATCTTTTGAATGGAGGTATTAATATTATTTATTTTTATTATATATAGAAAATATTTTGAATGGTCACATTAATACATTTTATTACTTCTAAATATATTTGTGTATATTTTTTGAAAGGTTACATTTATATTCTTGAAAAAATAACGTAGTTTAAAGGATGTATTGTTAACTATAAATATATTGTTAATAAAATTAACAAAAAAAAAGTATATTATAAATATATAAAAAGATAAAGTAAATAAGAACTCTAATGTTTATCTTAAATATTTAATTTATCATTCTATAAATGTAAGAATAAATATTATTTTGTAATTATTTAGATCCTTATTTGACCTAAAATAAATTATTTCAATTTCTATAAAAAGGTTAATAAAACAAAACAAAATCAATTGAGATTTGATAATTTTTTTAAGGTTATGAAATAACTAAAATATATCATAATCTTTTCAAATTAACTTTATAATTGTAATCATGATAAAAAAATATTAAATGGTAATCATGAAAATTTAATGATTTTTTTCTGACCATTGCTTTTCTTTTCAATTCAAGATTAATTGGCAGAATTGTTAGAATCTGGAAAGTTACCTTTTCTTATTGGTACTTGATTGTTCATAATTATAACATTTTTAATTAAATTTTGAAATAACACTTAACACTATTTAACGCTATTATTATTATTAATTATTATTATTAATAATTGAAATGGTTCACAAAAATAATCACTTGTATTCTGTTGACTTCAGAATTTTACTTCAAAATCTTGGAACCGTGAATGTTGTATTAACAATTATATTTATTATCATATAACCAAAAACTTTATTCATTTTATGTCTACAATCATTTTATGTGGTTAACAAAAAAAATTGAATGACAACCATACAATCAAAGTGATTTTCTACCCATTCATTTTTGCATCACCTAACCAACACTATGGAACCACAAGTTGCAGCAATGGCAAGACGTAAAAGGAAGCAGATTCTTAAAGATAAAAGATTGAAAAAAAAGGAAGAACTGATGAAAACACAATCAATCCCATTGAAAACTCTCAAAGGTATTATGTTCCAACCATGGTTAATATCAGAACACCACTATCTGATTTAACTTCATCAATCTTTAATGAAAGAAATATGAGTTCACCTTCACCAGCATCTGCATCAAGCAACTCAAGTACAATGAAGAGTTTCAATATTGTTTCTACAAATCAACTGGCTGCTTCAGCACGACAGCGGAAGAAAAGTATTATGGAAGGTAAGATGCCCCAATCTTACAAACTTCATAACAACCTTAGCAATAACAGTGGGTCCTTTCAGGATAAATTCTCCATCCTTTTTGCATTTCAAAACACCATTTTCTGATATAGTTTCCTCATGTTCTAACCAAAGAAACATAAAACCTCATGCACCGCCAAGTTGTTCTATTCAAAAATCAAAAAAACAGTTGACTGTTACACCTCTTTCTGACTGAGACATATACTCAACTGAAACATGATAACATACTTAATAATTTAATAATCTATAAATATAATGTGAATCCAGACGAAACCCGTGCGATAGCACGGATTTGTTACTAGTTTAATATGAAATTTGTAATACCTAATCAATATCTAATGCTTATGTAAGACATCATGCGAAATTCACGAATGGCCACCCAAACTTCATTGTATTAATCACGCTTCACTAATATGATGATAATTGGAATATTTAAACATTTTTGTTGTATTTTTATTTTTATTAAACTAAAAGAGAAATTTCCTATAACCGTTAGCCGACATACACTTTGTGGTTCGACACTAAATCTAAATAGTGAAGCTTTCCACTTAAACCTTGTCTCTTTACTCCACTAAACTAAATATACCCCTCCCAACTTTGAATATTGACTTTTAAAAAGAATTAATTATTTTTCTTAATCAACAGATGAAATATGTAGCAAACTTGCATTATATCATTCATCTTGTTGATGTCTTATGAAGGAGTCAAACATTGAAGTACCGTGATATCCAAGAAGTTAACAATAATTTGAGACTCGTCTGACAAATAAGAGTCCATTTGGTTTGGATATAATTTTTTGATTGATGTCAATGTTTCCTATTCAAATCTGTGAAAGCAAGATGCATAAGCAAAAGTAAGGTGACAATTTTGTAATTAAAAGTGAAAATAGAAAATGGAAGAAAAAAAGAAAGCTTTCAAACCAAATAAAGTCTAAAATCTTTATTGCAGATTCATAAATGTGTGAAAATCACTTCGAATAGAACAAATCTATTATAGTGCATACCTTGAATTCTCTTAAATTTGTGTATTCTTCCCAAAAACAAAATTTTCTTTTCAACCTTTTAACAGCAACCTGGTAGATAAGATGAGAATAGGAGCATAAACACCAAAGAGATATCCATTTCAACCTTTAATACAATATGTATGTATGAATGTATAACACCTTTTTCTTTATTTCATTCCCTCACAAAATACCCCATTCACACATCTCACTTTATATATATTATACTATGAAATACTAATACTTACATACATACACAAGTCTCGTCTCATGTATGGATCATAAGTCTCATCTGCCATATCTAATAGGTAAGAGTATTACATGAGCTATGAAATTAAGAAGAACCAATGAGATTCAACAGTCTAAATATATAACACTTTCTAAATTAGTTTGTACAAATGCAAATAGCAAAACACAAATGTAGCAAATACATATCTGATAAAACAGACCTCAGTCATTTTTTGTATCATCGTCATTGGCTGAAAAATGATAACCGAAAGTGTCACCATTGATGTGATATCAGAGCCAACATACTTTTGCATCATTTTCCAGTAACTATCTTGTTCCTGTAATGTAAAAAGTACACTTCAGGGATAAACTATAGAAACAATAGTGTTATGCAGTACACTATTTAAGACATAGTGGTGCTAAACACGCTATTTAGCAGACTTTAAACAAGTTGTTATTTTTTCATGATTCGCAATTGAGAAATATGTTTAACATGTCGGGGAAACCTCATAGGTTGACTATAACATAAAGTGGACAACATCGTGTTTCCAAAATGTTATAATTACATGATATACAAACAGACACAAATAATGCATTACTGCATTACTTACCATTCATTCATCTTAGTGTCATACTGGTTCGCATCAAATTGCGAACCTTCTGGAGCCAAACCTTCCATACTGCAGATCCAAGAACAGAGTTTAGATAAAATTCAACACATATTACAAAAAAAAATAACAAACATACAACTAAATATCCATTAAAATTATAAGAAAACACAATCCAGACCTTAATACGAGAAATAAAATTAGGTTTTGCGTACGCAATAACCACAGGTCCTAATAATCAAATCCATGAAAAGAACCCAATTAGATTAGCATTAGTCATAAAAATGTACCACAAACTCAACAAATAAAGAAAATGTCACAGCCAAAAAGAAACATAAAACTTGATTTTCATACATATCCTTGAACTTATATTCTGAGGACCACTGGTATCATAGTTATCAAAGTGAGATACATAATCAAACAAGTGAACGCATCGAAATGGAACTTTTAGCACATGACCAATTAACAACGAGTCATCCAGTTATCATCCAGTTAGTATAGTTTTCCTTAGTGTCAGGAAGATCATTCTTCCATTTCAATTTGAAGCAGAGAAGGGAAGATACGAAGGCATACCAACCCTCTATCATCATGCGATCTAACTTTCTGCCATAACCATCAAATCTGCACCATGGAATCAACGATAATAATTATATTACAAATCTGTATCAGTGATGTAAAACATAAACCTAATTTCTACAAGAACTTCAAATTTTCTTGCACTGAATACGAAATGTAGAAAACTCACTGGAAAGGCGTTCGCAAGGGTTCTGAACTGCGTCAAGAAGGAACTGGTCAACTTGATTGACGACATCATCCAAGACGTTGGTGTTATCGTCACTGGACGACGGAGGAGCATCGTCGGTGGGTTCATCCGAAGAGTGGTCCAATTTGAGGCGGGTTATGGAGTTGTTCAAATCGGCGATTAATAATGTCCGCAAGGCTTCTGAATCTTCAGCAGAAGCCATGGCGAGAAATTGCGAGTGAAGAAATGGTATATTCTAGGGTTAGAGAATCACGTAGCAGGTTCCATAGAAAGAAAAGAAAGAGAGAAGAAAAAAGAAGAAGAGAGAGGAATGCGAAACCGTACGTCATAGAATGATTTGGAAAAAGAATTGAAGATTCAATTTTGTAACTGCCAAAAATTTTAGGAAAACATAGAAGGATTTAGGCAAACAAATACACTGAATTGTAAGTCAGCATATATTGTGATTTTGGAGCAAAAGGACAAAATTAATTTTTAAATAGATCTAATTTTCTTATATTATAGATTTTGTTTAATTTAATAAAGTACTCAAATGAAAAAAGAAAAATAGAAATTAATGAAAAGGATAGAACTCCTAAGAAATTATTATTCAAATATTAATGCTATGTTTGGTTGTTGAAAGAAGTTGAGAAAAGAGAAAGAAGAAAGAGAGTGAGAAGAGAGAAATGAGAAATATAGATGATTTGATATATTGATTGATATAAGAGAAAGATAGAAAAAATAGATGAGAAAGAAATGTTGATTAATTTTAAAAAATACTAAAATATCCCTAATTAATTAATTTTTATTTTAATTTATTTAATTAATTAATTTTCTAATAATATATTTTAACAAATATACATTTAACAAAAAAATATTGTTCTGGACTGGGCATGCCTTGGTCCAAAACACGAGGCCCAAATCCAAGCAGTTCCTCGAGCTATGCTCGGAAACAGACCACTCGAGCATGCCCAGTCACAGGCCACAACGGCTATGTCCGTCGCTGCCTGCAACGAGCAGCATCCCCGACCGAGTTGGCTCGAGCATCTTCCTCGTAGGGCAGACTCAGTCCCTCCAAATGTTGCGGAATCCTTAAAGCTCTGGAAAGATCGCGTCTTCGTTCTTCCTCATTCTTCGCAGAGCATCATCTAGGAAGGAGACCATGTGCGAGTCTCTACTACACACGTAGAACCTGGCAGTCCCTTTGTTGGGCCAGTTTTGGTCGGCCCAATAAAGGGACCTTGGCTCAGCGCTGGGGGCTATAAATACCCTCTATTTCAAGAGGGTCAGGTATTCATCGTTACACACCTACACACTATTTGCCTGCTCATTCCGTCTCTCATTTTATCATCGGAGTGTCTTGCATGTACCCCTCCATCTCATTCAAATCCAATTCAAGCCAGCTGTGACGGTCCAATTCTGATCAGGTGAGATCAGTGGCGCCGTCTGTGGGAATCTAAGCTTCCCCGTCTTACAAACCTTCAAAGACCAAAAGCTAAAACCATTTTTCCACCGTCATGGCTGACCAGATCCAGGACAATCAGAACGCCTGGGTCGTCGAGGCCAGCAATAACCTCGCCGATAACAACGCCGACGTCACATCCCATGTTACTGCTCCCGGCGGCAACATCCCCGGAATCTCCAACTACCGGGATGGAGCCACGGCTTCGTCTTCATCAGTCCCCCTTCGACTCGAAGAAGATAATCTGGTTCCCCCGAACCATCAAGCTGCTCAATTCCATGAAGTTCCTGTCCCCGTCGGGGCAGATGCCACGACCAGGGCACTATTCGCGGCAATCAACCAGACCAATTACCTCATCTTTGCCCAAGGGGAAAGACTGAGAGCGCTAGAGGAGGATAGAAGGCCCCCGAGGAGACATAGGAGGCCTCAATCCCCACCTCCTCGAAGAATGGAGCAACACCTCCGATCTCCCCCGCGGAGACAAGACAGAGGCATCTTCCGAAGCTCGTCGCCCAGACCACCGGGGAGGCGACCCTCCTTGGAGAGGGAGCCAATCGTTGAAGCCGGAGGGCGCGACCACGACCCTTCACGGCAAGAACGAAGTATCCTGGAGACGGGCACGGAGGGACGTGTCAACGGACGCACCGCTCGAGGAACGCCCAGCACGATCAGAGCCATCGTGTCCGACAATACCTCAGGTCCCCATCCCTCTCCCCGGAGCAAAGTGATGAGGACGACCCCCGCGGTCCCCTATCACAAGCCATCATGGAGGCGCTCATTCCCCCGGGCATGGAGAAGCCTCCTCATCTGAAAGAATACGATGGAGTCGCTGACCCAGTCGATCACATAGACGGGTTCGAGGCTATGCTGCATTACCATAACATCGGGGGATCCATCAAATGCCGATTGTTCCCCACGACCCTCAGGAAAGCGACAATGG